TCCGAAACGTGTGCAACTATTAAACACCCATAACTATGGGTACACGGCCTCAGAAATTGGAAGATACAAAAGTAGGATCAAAGAAATAAAACTGAAGTCTGTTACTTTGACAGCAAAGCCTGGAGTCCCACGGCCATATTTGTTGAAAACTAAACGAACATTCAGATTGTTATCGCCAGATACTTTAGAATATGTTCGTTATATTAAGACGGAAATAACTCCAATGACACAGTATTTAGTAGCTATATTTAAAAAGGTTGAATAGCTCTCCTTATTAATTTTTTTTAAAAAGAAAAAGTTTAAAAAAAATCATTCTCTGTATGTATTTAAAACTATATTTTATGTTCAAGACTGCTAAGGCCCATTTTTATTGTTTTATAGTATTATAAAGTGTGATATTTAGTATTTATGTATAAAATATACATAATAATATGTAAATACATTATGTAGATTGCTCAAATGAGTACATATAAGTAAGCATGTTATAATAAGTTGACTCAGCGGGTAAAAACTAAACATTGATTAGAAAAGAAAATATGTATTAATTACTAAATGTCTATGTTAACAGGGCAAATAGAAAACTTTTATTTAGACAATAATTAATAAGAATATGTCAGAATAATTATTTGATTATTAATTCACAAAACTGACATGACTTAAATTTTTATTAGTTACCTCTTGTAAAAATATACTCATATAAAATGTATGACCAAGTGACCAGCATTTCATACTATCCTTTTCTGTCAAATATCTCTATTACATCTTCAACTTTATTGCATTGATATAAAGTCGAAAATCCAATAAATAAATTTGACAGATTGGAGTAGTTTAATCTGTTGGCCACTGTACATGGTAGCAGATCAACATTCCAATCTGTACTTTTTTTATTTGATTTTCGACCTTAATATTGGTATCAAAATAAAGTTTTGAAAATCGAATGAAGAAATTTGACAGAATAGAGCATGTTGACCTGATGTGTGCATTTACCTTTTTTTTAATTCCCGCCGAAGATTCAACACCAAAAAAAATCTTCCCGCCCTTTTCCCGAGTTTCTTGTAGTCTATGGTCTTAGGCTGCCATAGGCCACAGTATATCTTCTTCCATTCTCCTTTGTCAGACGTCATCTTATAGGTAACAATTTCTCTTTTATATCGCTCCTCACACAATGCATCCTTCATTTCTTTGATCATCGCATTTTATCCATATAAATATAAATTCTATTTGTATACTTACAAGATTTCATCCTTTATCAACATATTTTATGAAATAAATGATAATTAGAACGTAATATTGCTTAAAACTACTTAAATTCAATAGTTATGTATGAATAAGAAATTATTAAAAAGTAATAGTTTTCAATCAAGTTTTTACGAGATTGTGTCGTGGTGTCATATTTTTTTTAACAAACAACAAGTTTATTTTTTTATTATTTCAATGGAATGAAAGAGAACTAAATAATTTTCAGAATGTATAATATCTTTGTTAGGTACTTATGTATGTATTAAATTGTATTTGTGCGCCTTACCCTTAAAAATTACGTCACACTAATTCCATAATTTATACCCTTCCCCGCATCCCTGTCAAAGCTAGTCACATCTTTTGTGAAACCCTCCCTCTATTGTGACCACCCCCCACCTAGTGTGACGCCCCCCACCTTGTGTGACGCCCCCCCAACATAGTGTGACGTCCCCCCACCTAGTGTGACGTCACATTTTTGAAATTAACACAGTCATTATTAAATGAATTTAAATGAAACAGCGGTTCCGAAATCAGTTTTTTTTCGCGCATAACACTAATAGAGAGTGTGGTCAACAAAACAATTCATTTAGCTTATATTTACACAGGTAATTTGAGGTTTTCGTAAATTAATAATTTATAGTTCGTGTTTTAACACAGATTATAATAGTTTTTGAAATGTGACGTCACAAAGTTTAAGATCTTTCCCACCTCTTGTCACACAATAGTCCACCCTCGCCCTCCCCCCAAAGTGTGACGTAATTTAAGGATGTATTAAAAGGGATGACGTTATATGCCTTTATTTTACCTTGTTATTCGTTTTGTATCGTATTGTTCCAAATATTATGATTAAATAAGTGATGATAACTAATGATGTATTAATGATAAGTACAAAATAATGTATAGTGTATACTCATTGAGGCAATCGCGCATTATAATATTTATAATTATTGCTATTTTATGGTTTACATACATTTTATATACAATCATTTGTTACCTATTTTATTTTTTTAATACATTTTATATATTCTGATACTAGTTGCAGTTTTTTTTTATTTTTCTACTCGGACGAAGTCGCCAGTACAGCTTGACTAGCTATTACTCCTTAGTACGTCAACTACTTGCAATAAAAGTTCCGTTAACGTGGTTAGAATCTAATAATTTACATATAAATCTAGGAAAAACATATTTAATGCATTTCTATCAGCGTCAATTACCACCACAACTAAATATTAATTACAATGGCTCGACGATTACAGAAGTGAATACTACCAGATTCTTGGGTTTAGTGATCGATAGCAATTTAACTTGGAAACCGCATATCGAATCGGTGTGTAAGAAAATAAACAGTTTTGCATATGCTCTTTATAAATTATCACGTTCAGCTAACCAGGAGACAGTGATCACCGCTTATCATAGTTGCGTGGAATCTATACTGAGGTATGGGCTGATTTTTTGGTGTAACTCCACCGATAAAAATGACATATTCATAGCACAAAAAAGATGTGTACGCGCTATACGTGGCCTACGTCCTAGGGACAGTTGTAAGCCACACTTTCAAGACTTAAAACTGTTAACGTTTCCATGTTTATTTATTTACGAAGTAGCCACCTTTGTTAAATGTAACAGATGTCTATTTGAATTAAAGCCCCCACGCGATTCCAGGCTGAGGCAAAAGGATACTGGTGACCTTCAAGTAGTACACGGTAATACAGCGCTTTTTAGTAAGAGTATTTTCAGGGTTGCTGCACAAATATATAATAGATTACCTAAGGAAATCAAAGCACTAGACTTACCTCTTTTCAAAAAAAAACTAAGGCAGTTTTTAATAACTAAATGTTATTATAATTTAACCGAATTTATGACTGATGACAGAGGAAATTTATAATGTTAACAATGAAGATTTTTATTGTTTCCTTAAGTTAATGTAATTATTTGGTTACTTAAATGTTATTATAGTTTAATTGAGTATACGGCTGATAGAGTAAATTTTCAACACAAATAATAGTTTTATTAAAACTTGATGTTAATATTAATTTAGTTTGTAATTAGGTGTATTATGTTCCATAATGTAGACAGAGAAGATTATTGTCTGTAAACACACTAGATTAAGAACATACTATAAAAATTTTGTATGTCTGTACAGACACAATGTGGCGCACTACCATAATATTATCTACCATCTATTGTAACATACCTACATTGACGAAATAAACAATATTTGTATTTGTATTTGTATTTGTATTTGTTAAAATCAGTCTAGCCCTTTCAAATATTAGCCAAAACAAACAGACAGACAGACAACAATAGGCATTAGGTATGCACTTTTTTGAAAACTGACTTAATTAAATCAATCTTTAAGTTGTATTGAAACAGTGAAATTTTTATTTTAAATTACCGATAAATGTCATGAAACTCAGTTTTAATTCATGATCTTGAAATTAGACACTAAAGTAGTAGCCTCCATGCTGTTTCGACTTGTGACGTCACGCCAATAGTAAGCGATTAGGACACCAAGTGAAAATATTTTCGAAAACATTGAGTTATAACCCTTATTATGTTTTGTGCCTGGATGATAAACTAGATAACTTGGTGGTCGTCCATTAATCGCAAGTGGCTCAAATAGAAGAGGGGGTTCGACATAAAATCACGAAACTTCACGAGGGGGACGGGGCTTAATAAAACATCACGTGTAGGTACTTATTTTTTCGGCGAGGGGCGAATTTATAATTTTATAACAGGGTGCAATATGAAGTTTATTACGCTTTCTAACGACACAAAAGTGTTACTATCAAGTATTTTTTTTTTTTTTTAATATTATAGATTATTTCTCCACGGACTCTAGGTCCGTGCCCTTGTCATACAGTTTTTTAATTATAATACATCTAGTCAATTTTTATAAAGTAAAGAGGGAACCTACTATTAAGTATTTCTAAACTTTAACTAAATTACTTGTACTACCTATGTTACTCATTTGTATTTTGTGTCTTGAAATACGTGTGATATTGGGTGGGGGTTTGGGGTTAATCTTAAACTTCATCATATTTATGAAGGGGGAGGATGGGTCAAAAAACACTAAAAAAAACGTTACGTGATAGGTTAAAATTATGGGATTTTCGAAATAAAATTATATCAACTTCCAATATCTGCAGTTTTATTTGCTTCAAATATCCTTAAGAGGCAGAGGGGAATCATCGAATAACTCCTTTTACTCTGAATGAGGCAAGAGAAAGTGTCAGACTCTTGCTGATTGAAAACCACCCCGTTGCCCCGTTTCCAATCCACTCCTGCTCCGACCTTGTCCTGCATCCCCGGCCAGGGATCGACCCTAGTGGATCTTATTATCCTCATATGTGGTGGTCCGCCTGATGGCTCTTTGAGGCACGCGGGGGTAGATAGTGGGTCCATTGATGAACTATGAATTCTGTTTGCCGTTTAAGAAGATTACCCACCTCTGTTACTGATTTATTTAAGCTGAGCTGTGTTCAAACAAGTCGTTTATTTTAATGTAGATGCGGCAAATATAAGGCAAAAAATAAAAGCAGCTGTCTAAACATGCAATGTTCCCGTATAAAAAATAAGTCATTATTGTCTATTGCTCATAATATTCCGAAAAAAGTGTCAATAGGTACTGTCAAAGTGTCTGTCAATTTCAATTCAACTGTCATTGTTAACCATTAGTATTTGCGTAATTGCCCGCCTTGTACCTTTACCGGCTATCACTCGCAGCCGTTTACCGCACAAACAAATCTAAATTAATTAAAATGTCGAGTTTACACGAAGCGTTGAAGCCCATATCTTGGCTGGCGGGAACCTGGTCTACTGAAGAAGGCCAAGGCTCATACCCTAACATACCGAGTTTCCAATATGAAGAGGAATTGGAATTTATTTGCATTGGTGAGTATGTGGAATGTTCATGTTTATAAGTTTTCACTTTATTCAATTCGCAGTTTCATAAATATATGACTGTATCCTATATTTACGAAGTGTTCTATTTCCATATTACTGTGTTCTTGATAAGTTTTCGCAACTGAATAAATGTAAATACTGATGAAAAGTTACGTGTACAGTGTACCTACATTTTTGTAGTTAAAAAAAAAACTTACGTAAACACATTTTCATGGTAGTATTAGCACAGTTGGCTTAGGTCGTAATTATTGTCACTAATTAACCGTGTGGTGACAAGAGACTAGAAAACATTTTATCCCAAAATTATCACCACCGCGACTCTTACCGCAAGTTTCATAAGAACTTTGTTTTTCATTATATTTAATTACATTTATTCGTCGTCGGTATTTCCGAACCGATACGGCCTCCAAATTTTCAAGAAAAGAGCGTAATCTTTTTTGTAAAACCGGCAACACACCTGTTACCTACCCCAGACCCGCAACACCAGAGTAGTCTCTGGTGTTACGGGTCGTGTCCACTGTCCATGGGAGGCGCTGATCGCTTACCATAAGGTGATCCGTCCGCTCGTTTGCCTCCTATCACATATATCCCCAAGCTCTTCATTAACTACATTATAGACCTTATTTCCAATGTTTGGAGACTACTTTTGAATGAACAAATTTAGGGGATAATTTTCAACTGGTTATTCTATAAAAAGAAGAATCTAAACAAGATTTTAACAAAATTAGCATCAGCTCGACCGCATAGCAGTTTGTTGGCAGTCGGTTCTCATTGATTTCACTCGATTGTATCTCACGATTTTCTTTTTTCTTACACAAATAAGTAGCTACTTAATTCTTTTCTTACAGCTATGATTTTTAATCCCATATCAATCATCTGGGTGCCAAGCACGAATAACTATCGTATTCGTAACGTAATACTATCGAGCGCGTTCGGCGCTCTGATTGGCCGGCTCAATTGAACCAACCAATCAGAACGCTCAACTCGCTGGATACTGTTCGAAAGCGATAGTTATTCGTGCTTGGCACTCAGGTGACCAGGGGACTTGTTTGCTTCATAAAAAATACATAATACTAACACCACAACTCGTATATTTTCAGGTCAACCAATGTTCAACTATCTGTCTACATCAAAACACCTTGAAAAGAAGACTCCGATGCACCAAGAAAGAGGTTTCCTGCGCATTAAACCAGGCACCAACGAGCTAGCTTTTATAGTCAGCCATAATATGGGCCTCACATCTATAGAAGAAGGCAAATATCATGAAGAGACTCAACAAATTACGCTGGAAACCGGTCGATTAACTCGCATGTCTTTTTCTAAACCACCCTTTGTAAAGAAAATGAAACGAACCTTCACTCTGTTAAGTCCCAATTCTCTAGAAGTTGTATTGTATATGGAGACGGATACGACTCCGTTGACACAGCACTTGAAAGCTGTATATAAGAAGGTGGAAAAGTAAGTTGTAAACTGATTTTATATTTTCAAAAGACGTTTAAAGGGTCATGAGAATTTTTATGTTATGTTCTGAAGTTTTTAACCATATTTTATTAATATACAGTAGAGATGCACCGAATATTCAGTTACTTTCCGGTATCCGGCTTATCTAGCCGTTATTTACTATCCAACCAGATACCGGATAATAAACTTGGCAGATTCTATAAATGATATCCAAATAAAGACACAGTTGTAATTGAATCTTTTTATTATTTAAAAAAAAATTAACTTTTTATGATAACAAGCACAGAGTAAAATAATATACCTATAACAAGTCAAAATCTGCACCGCGACCGGCGTGGCGGTACGCGACACGCACCTACGAAACTCAAAATGTAGATATCACACTGCCGGCCGAATATTCGGCGGCCGGATACCGAATATTCGGCCGGTAGTTAGGCCGAATATCCGGTATCCGGTCAAATAACTATTCGTTGCATCTCTAATATACAGATCTCTTTATTTCTTCTTATTTTAAGGTTGAGTTTGTTTTACGTTAACACAATCGACATGTTTATGACTGATACTGCTTTGATTGGCTGCCCCAAGTCGACCAAACAATCAAATAATAACGGTAATGTTTTGAAGTAAAAATAAACTCATACCAGGCACTCTATTGTCAATTGTTATGCAAACTTCTGGTTATAATTTAAAAGAGACTACAAACAAACTTTCGCATATATAGCTTTGGTGGGGCTCGCCTTATGCTGCAATATGCTTATTTTTTTGGTGAAGTATCTTTAAGAGAAACATAGTGAGATTTTTATAATACTTTGTTATTTCGTTGAAATTTGGTATTTATTATGTAAGCTAATGGATAAAATGCCTAAAATATTGATGAATGAAATATTAAAATTGTAATAAACATAACAAGAAATACGTAAAAAATAATACACCTTAAGACGCTGACCTGTAACAAACTATGAATGTAATCAAATCTAAGAGTCTGAATTAGTGTGTAATTATTGTATACCTTTAAATTATTGTATCATCATGAAACTTGGCAATTGTATGTAGATTAAATGACAATACAATACTATGGTACCATTACTGGTAACTGGACAATACTATGGTACCATTGCTGGTCTGGAATTGGAAAGTCGCTGATGGAACTGGACTTCTTAATAGTAAACATATTGAGTTTGGGCTCATTGGATATATTATGTTCATTTCTTCTAATGATGAAGACATAATGATATTACGTATATGATATAAGTAAAACTATGAAATTACTAACCCATTAGCTGCTGTGAAAAAACTAGTATGTAAGCATTATTATTATACTCGAATAAGGGCCGGTTTGTCAATCATCAGTTAATTTTTATCTGTAGAATACAATTTTATTGACAGTTTTTACTGTGGAAGAATAGGGATGATGACAGGGTATAAAAATTGAAAATCTAATTAGTCCGTAAGTTACGTAATGAAAAAATATTAGACACGTATTTGTTTATTTTGTGTACCTATAATAAAATGATACTTAGATGAAACGAATCAAAGTTTAGTTGTGGGAGCTAAAACGTCATTTCTACGTATAAAATGTACATAGAAGTGACGTCACGCGACATTTCAAATCAATATATCGTCGAAAGTATTCGTTTCTGTAAAAAAATAAAAAATACGTGTCTAATGATTTAAAATAATCTACTAGACGGACATTAAAATAAAAATTAGGCATCTACCCTATTGTCAAATGTTCAAAGTTATTCCTGTGATTGAATTTTAACTGGCGTTGGATTGGGATAATCGGCCCTAAGCCCCAACTGCGATACTCAGAGACATTCAATGATTACTTAAATTACTTATTTCTTAGTATGCAACGATTTTATTCCGAAAACAATTACTAAGGAATGGGTTAAGTAGCCATTAAATGACTGAGTACGGTGGTTAGTGTAAAAGTAATCACTAATTACTTTTTCTTTGTTGATTTTTTCTGCTTTAAAGCATTTGTTATTTTGTTTCTTATTAAAATTATTTCTTCTTATATAATTGCAGTTTTATTTTGTTAAAATTAACCTGGTTAACTAGCTGTGCCCACGACTTCATCCGCGTGGAATAGTGATTCACAACTCCTCCCCCGTATGTGATAGCGTGATAATATGTAGCCTATTATGTTGACCCGACCTGTTTATAATATTCATGCAAAATTTAAAGTAAATCTATGTAGTGCTTTTTGAGTTTAGCCCGGACATACAAACAGACAAAAATTCTAAACACTATATTTTTAGCTACGGTATCGCTTGTAGATCACGGCCAGGGCATTCTTTTAAAAATATATTCGATGTACAGTTTTCACTTTCCTACGATTTTATTATACCTTTTTATAGATAGGCAAAAAAGCAGACATGTCGCATGATGGTAAGCAGTCAGCTTCGCCCATGGACACTTGCAACACGAGGTGCGAACAATTGCATTGCCGGCCTTTAAGTAGAGGTGGTATTGAAATTGCTACCTATTTTCTCGAGTACCTACAGGGACATCAAGCTACCTTGTCTTATGTATTTAAATGTTTGTAATACAAACAACGAGTTTAACCCGGCGTCATGTTAAAAAGTCCCATGTTATAGGAAGCTAGTATAATCTTAAGATACTTTAAGCTTCAATCATATCACATCAAATTCAAAAGCCTATAAGTACTGACCAAAGGCCTCTTCTCGCACGGAAAAGGTTTGACCATTTATGCGTGGTGGTAAACCACGCTTGCTCAATCAGAGTTGGCGACTTCAAACTTAGAATTATAAGCTCCAGTTCACTCACGATGTTTTCTTTCACCGTTTTGCCAGTGGTGTCTAAATTATCTTAGAAAGTACGGTACATGTAGCTCGGAAAAGTCACATTGGTACTTGCCGTTGGTAGGTTTCAAGTCAAGACCCTCATGCAGGAGAACCGGGCGTCTTTAACCTTCGAGTCACCACAACATAATCTTCTATCTATAAGAACATGGTTAAAACTAATAGTAGGTATATTGTGATCAAGTAGATAAATAAAACTTAAGGACTGCCTCGTTGGCCGAGTGGTCGCAAGTGCGACTGCCGGGCAAGGGGCGGGTTCGATTCCCGGGTCGGGCAATGTATGACTGGTTTTTTTTAAAACAAATCTCCGTGCACGGAGTCTGGAATTGACAATAGGCTCAACCCCTAATGCATGGGACTCATAACATAAATAGTGAAAAGTGGGCGTTACATTGTACAGTGGCATTAAGTGCCGTAATGTGCACCTCTGCCTGTATATCCCCGAAGGGATAAGTAACATTATATTAGGTAAATAAATAAAAGAGCGAAAAGTAATTTTAGAATAATTTAATTTAATATTATATTGATAAGTCGAAACAATTTACTTTTTACTGAGAACACAATATTTGTTTACTCACAAAAATCAGTTTGAAAATACAAAAGTCGTACAGTAATGTCCCGACACAAATCATAGATACATATTTCGTGATGGGGGCTCGTTCATCTAGGTATCTATATAAAGATGAAGATTTCGTTTTAACGCTTTATCTCCGAAGATAAGTGTCCTTGAATAATTTTTTGAGTGTATTAAAAAACAAAACTAAAGACAAACGAAAAGTAAAAACTAAAACGGAAAAGTAACTATTACTGCTCATACGTAGGTACTTATAGCTTACCCACTGATACGTTAGAAGTCGGTGCCACAAGTTTTAAATTTATTCATTAAAACCTTAACAGATACCAATATTATTAAGCTGTTTATAATTTTATTATGGATTATACCAGCTGTGACCATTAACTACTTTATATTTTGTTATAGGTTTGTGGCACCGACTTCTAATCTATCAGTGGGTGTGTAAGCTATAAGTACGTATGTCCAATAAGTTATTTTTTTCCTTTTTAGTTTTTACTTTTCGTTTTTAGACAATTGTAAAAAACACAATACGTGAACTTCCCCTATCACGAAAAATCAGGCCATGAATCGTACCGGGTATTATACACCTAATTTTTACCAGTTGCATCATTAGTCCCAAAAACATGAATGGAATATTAACTCATGGATACATATTGGATTAGGTAGTTATGATTTAAGACCTACCGCCGTACTCAGTCATCTAATGGTAACGCAGTCCTTAGCGATTGTCGTAATAAAATCGTCACTAAGAAATCTAGGTACACTAATACATATTATTATTGAGGAATGATTTGATTTTTTATTTGTTTGAATTGAATAGGCTCCGAAACTACCGGACCGATTTGAAAAAGTCTGTTACCATTGGAATCCTGCATTATACCTGATGAACATAACCATGTGAAAATTTCAATAATGTAAACCCGATGTGTGAATAATCTACCAAAACGATCCTTAGATATATTGCTTACACTGTTATTAGAAAATCCAAATTAGAAGTCATTATTCTATGCTGACGAAGTCGCGGGGATCTAGAAGTTAATTAATACTTTGATTAAGTCATCTTTAACACGTTAAACGCCATGGCAGTCACCAGGTGACCGACATTAGCGGAGGATTTGCCTTCAACAGTTTTTTATTGGCAGCCAATGCCTTAAATGACTGCGTACAGTAGTTATATTTACGTACAGCTTAGTAAAAAGGAGAGTTAGGAATAATTAATAATAATAATAATTAATTGAGGTCGCTAGTATCGTTCCTGTGGCAACCTGGTACACTATCGAGTCAATCGGTCTCGATATTTGTTATTTATATCGAGTTTAAAAAGAGGAGGTACTATGTTCGGATTGTTTATTCATGGGATACGGTCCGATATGGGTAATCCAGTCAATACTAGTTCCAGCTGTTACCGTATCTAACTCTTTTTTGCGAATCTGTATGTGAATCCTGTGTGGATTATACATGTAACTTGAAAATGATGGAATAAATAAAATACATTTTGAATCGAGTGTCAGTCTATCATTTACTCAGAATCTCCCAACCATACCAAAATAAGATTTTATTTTAACTTAAAAATAATTTAACATGTTACCTAAATGAAAACAAGAGTCAGCACTTGTTGAATAAACATGATATTCTATATTGTCTCTAAATAGTTTTTAGTGAATTTTCGCTTGGTAGATGGCGCTAATGAAGACTAAAGTCGCCTAGGTAAGTCTCGACATTGGTAACGACGAAATTCGGTCGCAAACTTACTTAAAACATTTTCGATTTTTTTCTTTTAAAATAAATTTGAAAAAATACAAATGATATTTTTGAATTAGCGACACATTTCTACCGTTGCTGCAATAAAGATTACGCCTTGTCATTGAATAACAATAAAATTAAAGGCTACTTTAAACTCAGTAACGCCATCTATCGAGTATACAAAGAAATGTTATGTATAACAGCAAATGCCTATAATTAAAATCTACATTTCACTAAACCTGCGTTATTGTTCCTTAACAAACTATATTATATAAAAATCTGTTTACATTTTCAACATAATTCAGCGAAACTATTTAGTATGCGGATTGTTTAGTAGCGTTTCAACTTAGCTAGGTGGTACCAACTGGTACTAAGCCCTCAGATCTCAAAGAGCCATCAGACCACCACGGATGGGGCCCAATAGGGCTGATGCCGTGCCGATACGGAGCCGCGGAGAACCTAACGTGTTGCCGGGGCTCCGGCTCGAAGTGCAGGAGTAAGAACGGGCTGGTTTTTAGTCAATAAGAGTCTGACACTCCCTCCCGCCTCACCCAGGCGGGAGAATCATTCGATGACTTTTCCCCCCTTTAAAAATACCCCTTAGATAGACCCCATATGTTCTGTTAACACTATCTGTTTAGAAAAAACAGTAGCTTTCATTATCTGAGGCCCTAGTCCGAGTTCGGTTTACGTTTAAAGTAATCGAAACGAAACCGCGTTCGGCACTTTGATTGGCTCGTTCATTGGAGCCGGCCAATCAGAGCGCAGAACGCCGTCTCGGAAAAACGTTAACTTTGAAATCACTACACAGTATAAAACAAAGTCGCTATCCGCCGTCTATCTGTCCCTATGTATGCTTAGATCTTTAAAACTACGCAACGGATTTTGATGATGTTTTTTTAATAGATACAGTAATTCTTAAGGAAGGTTTATATGTATAGTATATGCATATTGCACCCGTGCGACGCCGGGGCGGGTCGCTAGTCTTATATAAAACAGTTATTTATATTTTTATGGGTACACTGAATATCTAATTTAGAATATGTAGAAGGCTATATTGGTTTATTTATTGCATTCATAATAACAATGAATACTACAGGAACTATGCAAAAATATCCCTATAATAAAATATGGTTATTTGTTACCGTAATAGGGATAACGACAGGGTATGAAAATTAAAAATCTAATTAGTCCGTAAGTTAGGTAATGAAAAAATATTAGACACGTATTTTTTTATTTTGTTGTATAATAAAATGATATTTAGATATAACGAATCAAAGTTAGTATAAAATGTACATAGAAGTGAAGTCAAGCGACATTTAAAATCGTCGAAAGTATTCGTTTCTGTAAGAAAATAAAAAATACGTGTCTAATAATTTAAAATAATCTACCAGACGGGCATTAAAATAAAAATTAGGCATCTACACTATTACCGCAACCACTTTTATTTTGACTAACTTAATATGGAACCAATCCTTACTAATATTATAAATCGGAGAGTGAGTTTGTTTGTTTGTTCCGCTTTCACGCCGTAACTACTGAACCGATTGCAGAAGTTAGAAGTCCGGATTAACAAATAGGGTACTTTTTATCCCGGAAAAAAATAATGTTCCCGAGGGAAAACAAAAGTATTGGTATAGATGGCGCTGTGTGTATTGGTATATGTCACATAGGCTACTTTTTATCCTTTTGTGACGCGAGCGAAGCCGCGGGTAAAAGCTAGTCATTAATAAAGGATACAAATTCAATCATTAAAGCGGCAATTTATATTTGTGTGTATGTTTGTTACTCAATAACGTAAAAATGGCTGAAGGGATTAGGATGAAATATGAAACAGTGGTAGATCATGGTCTAGAATAACACATAGGCTACATTTTATCCCACAAAAAACGCGGACGAATCCGCTGGCAGAAGCTATTTGTAATATAAAGGTGGTTACGGTAATTAGGTAAGAAACGTCAGACTGAGGAATGATGGTACGGCACGCTAATATATTTTTGCCATTACATTCAATTCAGATCACTGACTAAAATATCTAATGTCTATCAAGAACGTCCCCGGCACGAACCATAGCCATAGATATTTCGATATGGGGGTAAATTCACGCAGTGAGTTTTCTCATTATGTTATGGTTATCGCTATAGGTATAATATCATTAACAAAAAATCGCGAGTTACTCACGTGAATATACTGAGAAAAGCTCTACTAGTTTCGAACCACAGAGGGGTTCTTCCTCATGAGTAATGTGCGCGGTCGCGGCGTTGTCGCGCAGCCTACTGTAACTACTAGTAGAGCTTTTCTCAATATATTGACGTGAGTAACCCGCGATTTTTAGTTAACCCCTCGAGCGTCCTTATGAGCACCCGGTGGATCATAAGAAAAAATGCTCAATGCTGCTTTCTCTTTTATAAAATCTATTATTAATGTTTTGTTTTTATTTTGACTGTATTTGTTTTATTTCTATTGTAATGATCCATGTTTTCGTGTGCCAATGGCCAAATAAATGCATTTTCTTTCTTTCTTTCTCTAAATGTCATGTGTGCACCCGTTGGATCATAAGGAACGCGGACGCTCGACGGGTTAATGCTTACTTCCTTACTAATATTATAAATCTGAAAGTGAGTAACCCAGAAAAAAATGATATTCCCGAGGAAAAACAAAAGTATTGGTATAGATGGCGCTGTGTGTATTGGTATATGTCACATAGGCTACTTTTTATTCTTTTGTGACGCGAGCGAAGCCGCGGGTAAAAGCTAGTAATATCATATTTCTATGGTTATCGCATTAATGTATACTTCTAAACGAGCAATTCTTATATACAGAGTGTAAACGGAACGCTCTTAAAACGCCTACAAAAAGAAATTGTTCTTACAATTTGAATCGTTTTTGTTTTCGTCTTATTCATACAACATCAGCCTTGAGCAGTTGATTACAACTATTATTATATAAAAGAAACATTTACTTTCTTTTATGAAAATAAAACTTGTTATTGACCATCACCTGTCCTGTGTTTACACCCTGTATGTACATATATTAAGTCAACGACCTCGGAAATAGTTAGCTAAAACAATTTTCTTGAAATTTTGTATTCAGGAGATTTCGGGGGCGATAAATCGAATCCATCTACGATTTGTAATGCGCGGGAATGGCTATAATGAGAATAATACTAATACACAAAGCGCAAACTTACTCCCACTACGAAATGTCCTGGCCATGATTAATGCCGCGTATTATACAATAGTATTATGAAAAAATATTGCTTATAATATAATAACAAACTATATAATAATGATAATTAAACATACATGTGCTGACTTCAACATTATTCATGAATTTATACTATAAAAGAGCTCATATATATGATTTCAATGAGCTATATATACAGACGAGGGGTAACGTTTCCTCAACAGATGGCGCTAGTGAGCGTGGGGTCCAAATTGTCCAATCACTGTTGTTCATCAATAATTTGATAGTACACACGGCTACACATCGAGCTTTACATAACCAGTATAAACTGAACGTTAAATGTGCGGAAGGATGATGCGACGCGACACCAGGATAAACTGGTTTTGTATAGATTCATGTGAGGCTGTGTGTACAAATAGTATCTCAAACTACATAATTATGCTCTTTAAGGTTTAACGGTTTTAACATTGCATGCACAACTGCCAGGCATCATCAACAAAAACCTAACCTAAGTGGCCACTGCGGAGCAAAACCTTTTCTCACACGGAGAAGGTTCGAGCATTACCCACTATGCTTGCTCAATACGGGTTGACTAATTCAAACTTCAACACAGGTTTCCTCACGATGGTTTCTTACACCGTTTGTCAGTGGTGTCTAAATAATCTTAGAAAGTACTTATAACTCGGATAAAGTCACATTGGTACTTTTTAAGTTTCAGTCCCTTAGGCATGAATATAGCGTGCGTTTTAAACCTCCGGGCCACCATGATAAACTGACAGGCATAACTGTGTTGCATTGTACTGATAACTGTACAATTTTGTCACATACACGCTTAGGCTGGACTTCTACAACTTATATAAAAGTTGTTGTAAATGTGAAGTGGAATTTTACAACTGGATTTTGAAGCAGATATCTTCAACCGATTGAGATTAAATTTTGTATACACATTTAGTTTGCATGACCATAAATACTGTTCAATTCAAATTATATAAAAATGTGTCATGAGATTAGGTATACCGAAGTATCTTGTATTATTTTATGCATGTAAGATTAACACCGTCATACAATACAATAGTTTTATGACTATCAAAACCACCATCTGATGAGTATAAAAACGTCAATCATAAAATTACCTCAAGTCTGCATTGATCAGTGTTATGTCAACATCAAACGAAGTAATGAGGTTTGCGAGCGATGATTCCATACTCCTGCAGCGCTGGAGCCAAGTCCTCCATTGTCATTACATACTTCTTTTCCTTGGGTCCTTTAGGGTTCTTAGAACTCTGTGTCATTTGACTGGAGGTCCTCATCTTACAGTGTTGGAGAGCATCGTTGGCTATGTCCGATAAGAACTTCTGTGAGGCCAACGCTATGAGGCGGATCAACCTGGAATTTTTATGTGATTTGGTTAGTATTAAGGTGTTTGTTTTGATGCACACTATGGTTTGGTATTTTGAGATATTTAATATTTTAAGAAATAATCCTCGCAAATATACTATGTGCTTAAAATATTAGATTGCTCAAGTCTCAAGTATTTTAGTTACTGCCGCTATACTAATAACTTAAGGAGTATATAATAATATTTTAGCCAAACCAATGTCGACAGAGGCTAAATAAGTTCATTCGTTAGTTACTATGTAATTAAGTCTTAAGTTGGAAAGAAGTTAAAATGGAACTGGCGTAACATATTGTTAATAGTTCCTAAATATCATTGAAAAAATATATTAGATGTACGAACTATCATATTTGAAGAGGATTGGATCATCAGACCTCCAAGAGGCTATTGTGTGTGACAAATGAAACATTGCCTTCCCATTTTCACCTGATTACCAATTCGGGGGAAAATACCATGAAAATATGCACTTTCCCGGTGTCTTGTCCTATTGCCTATTGGCTATGTGTGCGACGGTGGCGACGCGTAGCGGTCACAACATTCACGGAAACTGTTAAATAATAACAATTTAAACATTATAATTTTCTTTGCAAATATAAATAAAACCAAAGATTAAAATAGTATTGTTGACATTATTTAAGTGCAATTTATTCAATAGTTTTACTGTAAAATGAATATAATATTAAAAACCGGGTTTGCATCATCCGCATTTGTTTCCAATTTCTGCCGTGTTGTGCGCTGGGGTCGTTATTTGTCCGCCACTACTCGCTTTGCATATAGCCAATATGGGAATGTGACAGAAGTTTAAAGTTACCCTTACACCTGATTTAGTGATAACTATGACTTTTAATTGACAATTAACAATTAGTCATTAAAATACAATTATTCCAAAAAAATATATCTCATATCTGTGGTGCCTCGTGAATAATTAAATCTGCGGTATTTTAATGATTTACAAATTGGTAGTTTATTGATGACTAAGAACTAGTATTATAACCAGAGCTCAAAAAGAAATGGATGTATTTATCTATTTGTATATTTGGAGATAATGCAGTACGGTAACAATCACACACAACCGGGTTTTGTCCGGCCAGTCAGTCGCATTCATACCGTGTGGTCACTAGACTTTTTTGAGGGTGGAAAATCATCAAATGACTTCTCCCGCCTAGCTAAGGCGCGAGGAAGTGTCAGACTCTTACTGACTAAAAACTACCCCGTTCTTGCTCCTGGCATTCGAGCCCGAAGTTTCTTTGTTTGGATGTTTGTCCGTCAATCACATCACGCATTTTGATGAAATTTAGTATACAGGCAGGGTATGGGCTGACTTAAGTGAAAGCTAGTATAGCAACAGCTAGTTATAATTATAATGTTTTAATAAACTTATTACATTTAGAAAGTTTAAAATAACTATAAGGGATGCTAGTGGTGAGTTATCATTCTATGCAGAGAATTAAGGGAGACGCCTTTTTTTGATGGTGGATGTCTTTGGGGTGACAATGATGAAGTGGTTTCCTACACAGACTAAACAATAATGTATTAAATGTAGTTGTCACACTATTTGTGTATATAAAAGTTAGCATTTTTAGTAGTTAGCATTCAAAGCTAGCAGTCTTTCTTAGCCATTTTTCCAATGATATAAATAAATAGAACTCAAAGGCAGTCCATTCTGCATAGGTTTCACAAAGGAGTTTTAAGTAGTTTTCTATATTGTTCATTGTTTTTTATTGTCAATGGTACAATCAAGGCTAAACATTAACTCGTCGAGTACCGGTTTTATAGACACAATTAAAGAACAATGGGTCGCGGTCACCGGTGACCGCTTGGTGTTTGACAGATTAAGGAGGTTTTTATCAACTCTAATACAGTAAAAATTATCAATGAGAGATTCTTTAAAGCATAACCTTCAGTACTACTTATATCAATAACATAAAATCATAACATTATCATAGATAAGTCACAAGAAATCCAATGCAGAATAAAACTATCTCCCAATACAATCAACTTCTGTATCATAGATAATTTAATATGCCTCACGATAGTTATTATAAAAACATATGTATCAGTTGGTTGGAAGTAACCTATGTCTATTGAATTCATTAAATCTTCATCAGGTCATCATGATATAACGAATAAATACCATTTTCATGTAAAGCATACCACATGTCTTTAAGCACTAGTCAGCTAAAAGTAAAGTACTAAGAATTTAAAGTAATAATTACTTATTGTATATCTGGAAATGAGCACTAAGTGTGTATGAGTGTGTAATATAGAAGTAGTCATTTCTTACAAGGTAAATAACATACTGCTAAGCTTCAAAATCGAGTTAAAACTAAAATAATGACATGATCAAGGGGATCTTTCGTATGCCATTTTTGTGGGATTATTGATGTATTATACTTTTTAAGGAGTTCGTAGCCAATAAGATACTTGCCTAGGATCCTGAGACTCGAAACCAGACATGTTTAGGTAATGTGCAACCACGGAATCCGGGATAGATGGATTGTAATTCTCAAGTTGCAAAAGGAAGTCGCTTAATGCGTGTCCAGCTCCAGTATCCTCGTCCATATTTACTGCCGGAGAGCCGATACGACTCATCTGCATGGCGCTGTCAACAATTTATAATTACTTGTTTAAACTAAATTATCGAAAATAAACAAAATGCAAAACTTCGTACACACGCACTTCCATGACTTACCAAGCAAGCACAGATAATAAAGAATTTTTTCAACAAACCTATGTCATTTTTGTCAGTGTAAAAATAGGTTGGTCAACCTGATTACGTTTTGCTTTAACGTTGGAAGTGAGTTTTAGTTGTTGTTATTTTGAATAAAATTATTAAATGAAAGAAGCTATAACTGTAATATATTTAAAACGAAAATTTTACAATATATTATAAAATTCAGAAAATGATGTAAAAAGCTATACTAAATCTGTCAAAATAATATGATTCGCAAAAGGAATAAAGCAATAATTAAACGCAAAATGTGCACGTCATTCAAGTGTTCCCTACCTTCAACGATTTGCCCTAATTCTGTAAGTAATAATACAATAAAGGGAGAGATTTTAAGTCCTCAAAAACGTAATAATACCCTAAAATGTTTACAATTATTATTCAAAAATCTTTAAATTGCAATTTTGTTTTGTTTTTATAAACTTCTTAATTTTATTAAGATATTTTAATTTAAATTTCAGATATAAAATTGTTTTGGATATATGTGTATTTTGTTTTTGTTATATTTTATAAAAACAAGATTTTATGGGTAATTTACTTTGCGCGATTTTATTTTAAACATATAGAAATTTATAATTTATTTATAGAACTAAGTGGTAATTTGAAAATTTACATTGGCCACCCTGACCTCGTGGTGCTTTTCCGTGCGGTTGGCAACATCTGCCCCTTCCTTCCTTCTTTTGCGCCGCTCCTCCGGGCAGAACTGCGAGAGAACGTGATCGATCGAATTTCAAAAAAGGCACACACCTACCCCCTGTGCTCCCGAGATCACGAAATTACTCTAAATCTCCTGATTTTAAATTCAGGGGTTCGTGTTTCGTGATTTATTCCATTCCGTGTGTGTACCCAGATTCCACCTCGACCCGCGAGGTAATTACCAAGTGAACACCCTCCTCACAAAATGTCTAACCTCGCTGATCCGGTCGCGTTCGCGAAAGATTTCCTCGCTGGCGGTATCTCCGCCGCGGTCTCCAAGACCGCCGTCGCGCCCATCGAGCGCGTCAAGCTGCTGCTCCAAGTCCAGCACGTCAGCAAACAGATCGCCGCTGACCAGCGCTACAAGGGTATCGTCGATGCTTTCGTCCGCATCCCCAGGGAGCAGGGGCTCCTGTCCTTCTGGCGTGGTAACTTCGCTAACGTCATCAGATATTTCCCCACCCAGGCGCTCAACTTCGCCTTCAAGGACAAGTACAAGCAGGTGTTCCTCGGAGGCGTAGACAAGCACACGCAGTTCTGGCGCTACTTTGCGGGTAACCTGGCGTCCGGTGGTGCCGCCGGCGCGACCTCCCTGTGCTTCGTGTACCCCCTTGACTTCGCCCGTACCCGTCTCGCCGCCGACGTCGGCAAAGGCGACGGACAGCGTGAGTTCAAGGGTCTCGGAGACTGTCTTGGCAAGATCTTCAAGTCCGACGGTCTGATCGGTCTGTACAGAGGCTTCGGTGTCTCCGTGCAAGGTATCATTATCTACCGTGCTTCATACTTCGGATTCTACGACACAGCCCGTGGCATGCTGCCCGACCCCAAGAACACACCAATCGTCATCAGCTGGGCCATCGCGCAGACTGTCACCACCGTCGCTGGTATCATCTCGTATCCCTTCGACACCGTCCGTAGGCGCATGATGATGCAGTCTGGCCGTGCCAAGGCTGACATCCTCTACAAGAACACTCTCCACTGCTGGGCCACCATCGCCAAGTCCGAGGGTACTGGTGCCTTCTTCAAGGGAGCCTTCTCCAACGTCCTCAGAGGAACTGGTGGTGCCTTCGTATTGGTGTTATACGATGAGATCAAGAAGCTTCTCTAAATCTAATGTAAGAATTGTTACCATAATTTCAATTTATTGTGATTCCAAATCACCACAGATAGCCACTCCCCTAAATCTTGTATTATTAGACGCGGAATTAACCTAGTAACTTATTTTTAGTTAATAAAAGCGTTATACACCAATTCCAACAAGTACTTTGTTTTATTAAAATGTTAGGTATTACATAATGCTTGGCTACACCTCACTGAAAAGGTTGCATAGCTGTTCATGTAGATTACATGTCATTCAGAACTTTTTCTAAATATATTTGCTTGTGATCATCGCTCATCCAGCCAGTGTGTGTGTTATGTAACAACCTCATTTCGTACAATGTTTTGAGGCCAAGGTTGTTTGTACCTCTAGTTAATGTCTAACTAACACTAATTATCTAAAATGTTGGAATAGAAAACTTCATTAGTGAATATTTATTGTGAAAATAGTAGATTTTCACTTATTGTTATGTGGTTATTTAATCAATACTTAACCTATGTGGCATTGGGAGTGAGACCTTGTACTTTATAATCAAGTGATCTAAACAGGACGCTGTGAAAATCATGTAAAAGCTGTGGAATCCAAATCATGTGATTGAGAGCTGTTATGTAACTATGCAGTATGTGTAAGTGCTATGATGTGTGCATGGTGACCTAGTAGGAATTTAATTTTAGTTCACTTTTAAAAAGTGCTATGCAGTGTAGTAAATCCACATGTATATCGATATAATGTAACAATTGTTACAACGAGCAGGCTCATCGAGATCATCAACCCTGTGTAACATCTTTCTTGCTCGGTATGAATTTTTTGGTGTGAAAAATTCATGCTAAGAGTAAATTATTATCTAGAAAATAAATGTTAAATAAATACTTCTTGAGTTTCATTACCTCCTTGTTATAACTAACTACCTTTGTCTATTCTACACCTAATAAATTCAAATTTAGAACACTGCATACATTCAATGTCTTCATAGTTCAGACTAATTTCTTTTGATTAACTAATTGTAAATAATTGATTTTCATAGTTAATTATGTCTCCTCCCATTGATAAAGGCCACCCTAAGATTAACTACATAAAAGTTGACAAAAATGAACCTCTAATTAGGTAAAATAATTAGTATTCAGTCATCATCCTATTAATTAAAAAGTAATTGAAAAAAAGAGTTCCTGCTCTGCTGCCTTCGTTCAACCTATAGGATAGGTCAAGAACAGACCAGCTGGAGGTTCCCGGGATACACCTAGTAGGTATAAAATCTAGTCATTCATAAAAAAGTAAGCTATGCTCGTCAAAATTACTACGTCACAATTATGACGTACACATAAACAGCATAAACTCAATGACGTCATTGATGAATGGTTACGTAATGTAAAATCACGAGTTGAAGAAGTGACTTGTAAAGGCGAGTCTACATCGCGGCAGTAGTAACCGAATCACAAATAATAGCAAAAATAGTCAAAATGGCCGCTCAGTCAATGAAATAGTTGTTCCGTCTGCTACATGTCGACTTGAATAATCAATAAAATGAATCGACCCCTCGTTTTGTGCAGCCGCATTCAATGAATTAGTGAAGGGTCGACTCGACGCCAAGCCATGAGGGCGAGGGCGACCGGTGAGCGATCGACATAATGCATAGCTATCCTATGTATTCAGCACATCTGAACTAGCCTTTAGATTCCATTGAATCTTAATGAATGTCATCTAGTTTTATTGACCGCGAATACATGTTATTTATATGAACCGTAAAGACACTACACTATGGTCTAATTACCTACGCTAATATCTACTAAAAGGCCTCATAATCTAGCTAAATAATCTAATTGTTACAACGTAACGTCTAGAAAATTCCTAAGATTACCTTCTGTGACAATGTACTTACGTAATATCGGACTTAAATTCTTGGCGCTAAGTTCAAGGCTAGACGCAACGCTATCTTTCAACTTGTTATAATTTTAGCCTCCGTGCCGTGTAATTTAGGCTAGTACAGATTATACAGCGACAAACCAAACGATTTCAAGCTTTCTTGGTTAGTTTTTAATTAACACAAATATATATTTGATTTTAATTATGTTACATATTAAAACTTGTAAATCTCAAAAGTTGTCAGCCTGACATCGCATCAGTCGGCCATTGCCGATTTCAATTTGTAGGTTATGTAAATGAAACTTGAAAAGAGGTCGAAAACCTCTTTTTACTAGCGTGGTTTAGCAGTGTGTAAAAGTAGAAAAGGCGATAAATCAATTATATTACGTAATTATTTTATTATTTGGTCTTTTTCATTTAGAATTTAAGTAATAATTGCCTAAGCGGTTATGCACTTATGCCCAAATTCCATAGCCAAGATCCTAGATTTATCTGATCTAACTGCTTACATAATAAAGTCCATTATAATTGAACTAGATCTGAAATCAATACTACTGTTTTCAATAATAATTTACTACGCTAATGCCAGCTTGTACAAGGTACGAACTAAAATCAACCTTATCTTTGACAAGGTCAAGTTCAAATTTTATTAGCACGTCGTAGCCGGCAGCAATGGACGTTATGAGCTAAATTACAATTTGCTGTGTCGATGTCGTGGCAGACTATTTACTGATTCATCGCATCAGTTAAACACGTGTAATGAATAACACGTGGTTTAAAGTACAGACTGCAATTTGTCGACCTTATTACAGAAGTGTTAAAGTTGAATATTAATTGAATTTCGGGGTATACGTTGATATACTGTTGTCTAAGTACCGTTACTCATTGGGTAGTATTTTTTATTCATTTGGACGTTAAAACGTCCATTTCACGAAAGAAGTCCCGCGTCGACGAAGCGGCTGTGCGCCATCTTGAAAAATGCTGCTTTTTCTAAAAAGAAAGGACTGGACATTTAACAGAGATCTGGCAGTTCTTCTAATCAGGAATCTCCAACGTTCTCCAAATCGCCTGACAGGTTTAGAGATTACGGCAAATCTCTCTTATGCAGAAGAGAAGAGGTCCATAGTAAAAAAATGGTCCATCATGGACTGTTGATGTTTGGACTGCCTCCGTTTTATGTTAATTAAGTAACTTCAGACCAAACATATCCCAATCATTATGCAATTCATATTTCGCCCGAATACTGAATGGCTACACAATTCAAATTCAAATAAAAATTCGCGGAGAACCTAACGGGTAACCGGGGCTCCGGCTCGACGTGCAGGAGAAGGAACGGGGTGGTTTTTAGTCAGTAAGAGTCTAACACTCCCTCCCGCCTCACCCAGGCGGGAGCAGTCATTCGATGATTTTCACCCCCTTACAAAAAAAATAAAAAAGGCTACACAATTAAAAAAAAACTTAAAAATATCATGCCATCTCTTTCATTTTACAAAGAATTTGTAGTGACAGAACTATAACTATATAGGCGCGACTTAAAAATTGAATGACGTTTGAGTATTTCAGCGTAAGACTAGCTCAATCTAGCGACAACCGATTACAATTTGGCGTCCATATTTTATTCTTTATTCAAATCTTCGAATAAGCACAGCCGACCCATGTACTGCGATTGATATTCAGACTTCTTGCTCTAGAAATAAGGTCAATTATTTCGTGAACTTTGGCCGATTATGTCAGTGGTTTTGCGATTAGGAAGGAACAATGGATAGAGACGCTACAACAATAATGGGTCTGTTAGCAATTTTTTGAAGTTCTACGAATTTAGGTACATAAATATCCGGTGTAGGTAGACTAAGTAATTAGTTTGTCTGTTTTACTGCGCGAAATAGAAGATTAATGTCAAATAGACCTCGATCCTGAAGGAATATCGGGATAATATTAGCCAATGTTAATCCTTGAAAAGTATTTTTTTAATAATGAACGTACATACATTCCTACATCGTGAAGTCTAATTTGTTAGTTTCCTTTTTACCTTGTAGTAAGCTCCCAATAAGATTAAATAGGACAAAGAATTATACAGATGCAGTATTTAAGTTTATCACTATCACACACGGCTAGGAATATAACTTATACAGCCATAGACCAGTATTAGTTCATACTCCATGCTCACAGTAAAGTTGCATTCTTTGTTCCGTTTCGTCCGTGCGTCGCGTCGATCAGCAGGTAAACATTTTTTTTTCCAAAATGTTCCCCTCTCGTCAGCTGCCAGCTAACCATAACGCTTGGGATACATTTTTTCGAAGTTGGAACACCTTTTTTTTTTGAAATGCCAGGCCATGACCATGCCACGATATTGTTTGTTTACAAACGTTGTATGATTCGTGTTTGGTCGCATTTCTAACGATGAAAATTTAAACTTATATCGACTCACGCCTGTCCCATGGTAGACAGACACTATCACTTATTTTTTGGTTTATTAGCTACTTTTTAGGCCCATCTCATTAGAACATCATGGCCAAATGACCAGTCAACTAAGAGAGAGACATGGAAATGAAGCATTATTAATTTCGTTGATGCATTCATCCATCCATGGTTGTTTGTCGAAAAATGGAGTTTCGTCCTGAGCCAACGAAGTAAGTAGTAGGTATCCATGGTTGCTTTGTCTATCATGGTCATTTTTTTAAGGGGGGAATATCATCGAATGACTTCTCCCGCCCGGGTGAGGCGGGAGGGAGTGTCAGACTCTAACTGACTAAAAACCACCCCGTTCCTACTCATGCATTTCGACCCGGAGCCCCGGTAACCCGTTAGGTTCTCCGCGGCTCCGTATCAGCCTGCCTGGACCGTCAGCCTAAACCCCATCCGTGGCGGTCTAATGGCTGTTTGTGGCGCACCGTACGCTCAGGTCTGGTTCTGGTCGGGCGGCGAGCCACCCATGCTCGCCGTCCGCAGGCCCGCGCTTACGGTGGCCGGAGATCGCATGCGTTCAGACTTCAGACTTAGATAATAAGATAGTGACCAGCTGTACTTCATACATAGTTCATACTTCATTCACTTTAATAATAATCTTAACGTTTTTTAAATGCAAAACTAAAAATAAGTCTAACTACCTCATTGGCCCTGTGGTCTCAAGTCCGACTGCCAGGCAAGGG